GAGCGTCTTATGTTCTGTGTGTGTGCGCGCACACCCACGTGTGCCTATTAGAGACTGCAGGAGTCATTGCTCAGGCAGATGGTGACAGAAGGGGGCTGTCAGGCATTTAGTGCCCTGCTGCCTATCTGGCTGCTAATGCTGTGCCTCCTATGCAGAGGACCAAAAGCACTGTGCCACAGACCCTTGTCAGCACCACCTCCAGCATTTGAGAAGTGAGTGTGGGTGCTGCAAGGGAGAAAAAAGAGAGAAACCTCTCTTACACCTCTTGCTCTTTAAAAAAACTATCTCAGAACATGGCATTTCCTAATTTAGCTTTTTGCTTCTGACTTTATGCCTCCCATGTGAAATAATCTTACACACATAAACAGTTGTAAGAGAAAACAGCAAGCCACTTTTCACAGGTATCAATATTTAACCAGTCTATGCCATTCTCTAAAAGACAAGTCATTTATTAGCTGCCAAAACTCCCATGGATGGCAATGACAGTCAATCACATATTTAAATATGACCCATCAGCTCTCTTCTTGTGGTACAATTTCAGAATTGAAGGATTAAGTTTGTGCTCCTAAGATCAATTCCTGCTCCTAAGGTCACAAAAAACCCAACAGTGGTACGAAGGAAAAGTTTCTCTCCTTACAAGCAAATTCTTCTTTGTTCACTCAAAATGCAGAATATGAGAGCTGTGGGGAAAAAAGAAATCTCAAATTTTTTTCACAGAACTAGATTACATTTTAAAATAAAAAAATACAGTGCCACTATCTTCATATCATTTACTTGATATGACTGCTCTTATTTTTCCATGTAACAACTGAAGATTAAATTTGCAATGAAAATCATGCACCAGGTATTGTCCATGATCTCACCAAATGCAATGAATTTCTTAATAAAACTCCCAAATAAAGGTACAGATGGCATAAGATACATGATTCAATACATTCTAGTTTATAACAATCGAAATAAGATTATAAATGAAGGGTGATAACACACTAATAAAAAGGAGATAATACATTTAGGGCAGCAAAGAAGAAAGCCAACTGTGAAAATGCTCCCAGAAAACAGAATAAAACAGCATCAAAACACATTTGAGAATGGGAAAGGCAAATTCTACTCCTTTTTGCTCCTCAACTCAGAACTGCAGCCAAATTACACATATTTAAAAATATATCTGTTTTTCAATTCCCTAGATTATCATATGCAGCAGTTATCTTAAACCCTTAATAAATGCTGGCATTTTACTCTCCATCTTCACTGAAAAAATAAAATATGTGCTAATACCATATTTTAGATTCCTATGGTTTGCCTGTGCTCTGTGTGGATTTCTCTAATGACGCTCAAGGCTCACTGCGCTCTGGGAAGGAATGCAAAATGCTGCATAATGAAGAGGATAACGACCAGGGAAGATGCACTGAGAGAGACTGGTCACCACCTGACAAGGCAGAGCGCACATAACAGATGTCCCGATGAAATGCGTGCACGTACCTAATCTGTTGGAAGGGTTCCTTTTGAAGAGAGCTCGTAGCAGGCTCTGGGCTTCTATGCTCAAGAACTGCGGCATTCCCAGCTTGGCTCTGAAAGAAAAGAACACTTGAAAAGAAAATAGGTTTCTCAAAAATCTTCCCCATCCCGCTGCGGTTTAAAAAGTGGAATTGTTGTAGTGAAGACAGGTAGACATATGAATTTGGAGACCAAAGGCTACCAAAGCATAATGTGATACAGAGTGAGAACCTGATCTTGTTCTGCTGAACTTATAGAAGGTTTTACCACTGGCTTCACTAGTGTAAGAGTAGATCTAATGAATCTCATAACACCCTTTGCAATCTAAATAAATCATTTTCCTACAAAAATTTTACATTTTTTTTTTAGCTTGCTGGAATAAATTAGAGAATCAAGAGGAATTTAAACAAACAAACAAAACTTCATGAACATAATTATACTAAACCACATATTGATTAAAGAGAAGAAAACTTTTCCCTTGGTGATTCATTGCTAAAGAGGAAAAATGTAATACTGAGCAAAGTTAAGCTTCAAATACTCATGTCTACACTTAACATCAAATGAATGGGAAATTTGCAAAGGAAAATATTTGAAACTTGGCAACAACAGAACATAAGCTGTCTGGCAGAAATGTGGCCATTCCCACTTCTGTGTGAATAACAACATTATAACAGAAAGTAAGATACATTTCTTTTATAAGGCCCTCTCAGTAATTCACTTCCTACAATTTATTCTGAGGGCAATTTTAGAGCCACATGCAGGCACGAGCTGTGTGCATGTTACCAAATTCATGCCTGACATAGCTTTGAAAAACACGTCATGCACATTATTGTTATCTACCCTTCATATATTTAGGATCTATAGGCTACCCGGAGGGTACAGTTATCTCATAGTTAGCAGTTTCAGTACTCACTTGAGAATGAGTGCCATTGTCTCCTTTCTGTCTTTTCCTTGGAAGGGTAACGATCCTGTCAGCATCTCAAACTGTGGAGTAACAACAAAATGATAAATCAAATGAACATTGAGCTGGTTTGTATGGCTGATAGACATCACACTCACCTTCCATTTCCAACACAACTGAAAACTTGAGAAAATAAATGGTCCAACAAGCTGTACTTCAGAAAAAAATGACACAGCAAGTCTCTATTATGCAGGTCATGAAGGGCCAACATGACTGTTTTGTTCAAGAGTCTTGTTACAAACTGTTTACACTGTAACTTAGGGTCAAATTTTGGAATGTTTTGGAAGGTGTGTCATATATGCTGTTTCCTCCACCACAGCTTTTATGGCTGGTGCTGGAGATGAGATGTTTGGCTGAATAGCTATGGCTGTTCTTAGGTGTTTGGCATGGACTGTGGTGCAAGGAAAGTGGGTTCAACATGCTACTCCCCATCTTTTTAGCTTGAGTCAAACCACCTTTTCAACTGTATATTTGCAACACTTAGAGACTCCATCGCTATACTTTGCAGGATAAAGATGCACAAACCCCACATTCTCAGGGCATTTGAGCGTGCTTTTTTCCTCTCCTCCTTTGGTTCCCCTGGCTGCATTCAGTGATAAATTTTGCAAGCATCACATTTAACTGAACCCAAATCTCAAAGCAAAACTCAGCAATCATCATAAATTATTTGTGTAACTCACACATGAAAACATCAATCAGTTATAGCTCCTTTGAAACAGATTAACGCTTTCAGTAAATTTGACAGGAATTTCACATTTGTAACACTAGGTAACACATGTAACACTAGCTCTTGCCACAGTGTTTCATGGGGTTATGAGTGACAGCTGGTTCCTCTGAGTGGAGGATGATGCATCACCAAACACAAAGACACCAAGAAACTTAATTCGGCCTGGGCACAAAGGAGGACAATGTCCATTGAGGGTAAGGAGAATTATTACTTGCCTATGTCTGTGATTCAGGCTTTGGATCTCTTCTACTATAATAAGTATCTACTAATTAATATTCATTAATATGGTTAAATACCTGTTAAGGCAGGACATATTCCGCAACCCTTATGTAGTTTTTGTACCTTATCACCCAAGTACCTTCACTGCTCTCAGGAAGCACATTTGTGCAAAAAATGATCATTTCATCACCAAAACCTATGTCAAACTGCCTCACAGTCTGACTCTCTTCTTTTCCCAGGGTAAATATAGCCATAACATAAGAAAAATAAAAGAAAACATAAGAAAACTGTAACCATGAAACCGTTATGCTAGTTTTGGGAGGAGGGCAGAGGAGAGGTTTAGAAGTCAGATAACTAATTAATTATAGGCAACTGAAGGATTAATCCGCATTAGTATCAAATTACCTCTAGGCAATGAAACACAGTGTAGAAACAAGGAAAAAAACTTTTTAAAAAGTGTGTATGGCTGACAAATATAAACAAGATCTGGAAAGCACAAATGTGTTAACTCATGCTTGGTCTAGGAGAGTCAAGAGAAGAGCTGCCTCGTAGAAATGGAGGAAAGCAGCTTCTCTTCTAGAGAGAAACACGATGGGGGACAATTTTTAAAACTGCTTAAATGACACTGGAGCTCAGTCTTCATTTTCAAAGTAATTCTGACCTACTAGAGCCTTAGTCCTGATAAAAGTTTTGAGATATACTGGGATATAAGGGGCAGAGAACATTGCTTCCCAGAGCAGCAGCAGAAGTGGTATGTGTTGTACTAAATCCTCCTCACAATTTCTATAGGGTTTACATTCAGGCTAAGTACCTACTGTTCACTTACACTTGCTCATGTTCCTGTGTTATTTTAATAAAACTAATTTAACAGCACTAACAATGACTGCTACAGCTCATTTATTTTGGCAGAAATGGGTTTGACACTGCTGATCCAGATGATGCAAACATACGCAACTGCTTGGTCAGTGTCTATGTGAGGAGAAGACGAGTGTAGCTCCCACCAACCACAAGATCACCATGGGTGCAAGGGGCCAAGAAACCCGAAGTCAGGAAATTCAGATGCAATGTCCAAGGGGGTAGGAAGGAAGGAAAAAAGAAATTTAAGTTGTGGAAGGGAGCAGGGGAAATGACTGTCCTGGAGACTGCAGGGAATATTTACTGCGCTGCACTAATGGCTACCACTTTGTTACCACATGTCTCCAATTACACAGGTCTAATGTTGAGATTCATTCAGATTCAGAAGAAATGCTCTTAACATAAATATTTAAAGTGAAAGGCAGCTACAATCAGTTAAATGTACTAGAGATTTTTATTTCAATGAAACAACTGAGCAGCAGTGGGGAAAAAGCACTGGTTTCTCAATTGCAGTCCTAATTACATTTGTTGAAGGTTAAAAATGAAATAAGACTGAAAAAAGAGAAATCATTCATCTCATCAGTTAAAGCTACCACTTCAGCATACAGCAACCTGTTTTCCTCCTTATTTTTTCAAAAAATCCAGAATCTTGCTAAACTTAAACATGCAAACAGAAGTAAGCACTTGCTGCTAACATTTTTTCACAAAAATATGGAGTTGTATGGGTCACAGCAGGCTGACAAGGAGCTGAGCCTAGGTGTGAAGAAACTCTGTAGCAGTTTTGGCTACTAATGCAGACTCTGTAGTTTTCCCAGGAGACTCAGTTTTCACTCTCCTCACTTCCTCATTTGTATAAAACATCTGTTTGCTTCTTGTCTCCCAACGATCTGCTTCTTGGGTATTTTGGAGGGCCACATACTGTTAGCCAGTACTTCGGAATGCTTTGCCTCCCTCCAAACTTGACTTCCTTTCTGTGCCTATATTCAGCAAGAAAGGCAAATATTCCCTGTTCCAGTCAGCTGCCTATTAAGAGAACCACAGAATTAAAGCCTGATGGGAAGAGGCCCCTCTAGTCACATAATTCAGTCCCTGCTTAGGTCTCCATGTACTATTCAGTGCTTCCTTTCTCTAGTTTTCAGGGCAATTGCCAGATTCAGTAGGCAAAATACCAGCCCTGGAGACCTCAGAAGTTAGGCATGTGAGAAGTCCTTGGGAAAGAGGGACACATTGTCTGAGGGAATGGATTCAAGAAGAGTCCCTGGTAGGTCACTGAGGAAGATAATGAACAAGAAAAAATCCACAGCCTGGAGTAATTGCCACATGAATCTTCCTAGCAGATAGAAGGAGAGCAGATTGAGCAAATTACTCCAGCCTAAGTCTGCTAAAGTACTGTGAGCCTAGGATGAAATTCAGGGTCACAAGGAAACTTGATACCACTCAGTTTAGAAAAGCAGAGACAGTCTTGTCAGGACAGCTGGGTTCCCTTTTCAACACTTCCAGTCATTTTCCAGGTAGCTGGTAGCCTGTCAACCACTCAGTTTTGCCATCTGTAAAATGCATTAAGTATTTTTCATTATTAGTAAGGTGTGACACATAACAAGTTAGTGTTTGCAAAGGTGCAAAGGGTTTGAATACCTTCTCATAGCAGCTAGCATGAACATTCAAAATACTGTTCATGAAGACTATCCCTCACACTGAGAATAAAACAAGTGCTATGATGGGTTTCCGTAAAAGAAGATCATATTGCTTTGATGTTTCATATTGATTTTTCCAATCCGCAGTACAGTTATTACAAAATTACTACAGAACTGACTACTTTGCCTGGATACCAAAAGAATATTTTCTTGTGAAGACTTCATTACTTACACATTCGCTACATTGCTGACAAACATAAACACAACTTTTTATTTGAGACTGCCAACTGACTACCCCTCTTCTTTCTCTAGTTATATTCTACTCTCTGCTCATATGACTCTCAAAGGTGTACACTGATTTTTCCTGAACTGAAACAGATACAACTTTCATGAAGTCTGTGGTCTTGTAAATTGGCTGGTATGATGAGCTATAAAACCTCTGCTTTAAGCAGCCTTCCAAGAGACTTGTGCATGCTATATTACACAGACCAGTTTATCTGGGCTTCAGAGATGGCTCTTGCAGCGCAGCTGAAAAGGTATTAGTCATATATACAACTTTTTAACAATTTAAGTCAGTTGCTTGTTAATGCAGATCTCTTGATGTAAAGCTTTTGTAGAATACGTCCTATCCAAAATCTCCAATGCAATGAACAAGATGCAGGAAGGCAGAAGACAAAATCTGTTCAGTTATGATAAACCAAATAAATTCACCAGTACAAACTTTTAATTGGATACCAGCAGTCATCATCACATACTAAATGAGAGGCAGGTACTGTCAACTGGAATGCTCAGAAAGGGTGAATTTCAAGATTTGTCTGATTATACCCATTGACACATACTAAGCTACCATAAAACAACTGAAACAAACTGAACAGGAAAGGAACAGAACAGATAACAGTTTGGGTTTTGTGACCTGGGTCAAAGACTTAGCTGGTGGTAAATGTTGCTGATACTAAAACTCACACTGAGTAATAATTAATAACATAATTAATAATTAATTAGTACGACGGGACCAGACTTTTTCAGGTAAGTTTGTTTTGATATTAATAATCACAACATGCCACATTTAATGTTGCCTTCAAGGATCACTCAGTTTGATTCTGTCCTGTGCCCTGGACATTGCACCTTGGCAAGGAGCGGTTAGCACAACCTGACTCTTCATATTGTAGCATTAATCCCTTTTCACAGAATAAAACAGACAAGAGACTGTTTCATTGCTCTTCTGGCTAGGTTACAGGCCATTGTGTCACTCATTATCTGCCTCATATGTTCCCTCTTTGGGAGTGAAAATTATGAATGAAAATTGCATTAATTATGTATGAAAATTACACTGTCACATTCACTTCCTTTCAGTCTGTGCATATGCCACCAACTGGTATATTTTCTTTGTATATTTCACATCATTCTGCAAATTACTTAAAGAGAAATGCTACTAAATCATTTGGATGTCATGTCATTCTCTTTAGTTTTTCAGACTGGCAGGAAAACAGCTTCCCTAACAGAACATACAAGTGACTGAGCAAGGAAAAGAAGGAGAGATGAGCAGAGCTAAAGACAGCACCAGAAAATCCTCCTGTACTTTTAGTTTATGGAATTGTCCTTTTTCTGCCCCAAAACAGTTAATTGTTAAAAAGGTAAAAAGACTGAACTGATTAAAGCTATTTTTCTCTGAGATGTCTGGTAGCAGTCAAAGGCTTAAAGCATCAGCTTACAGTTAAAATTATTTTACTCCTTTTAGCTCATCTCCTTTTATATGGATTCTTATCTTTTCTAATTCTAATACTTCAGGCCCCTGGGGGAGGGGATGAAAACAGAAATGAAGGAAATTAAAAAAGAAACCCTGGTAAAAAGCAGGTGGGAAGGAGCCAAGTTCATTAGCAGTTAAAAGAAAAATAACCTATGCACCAAATATGTCTTTTTAGCTGAAGATAAGACAGTGAGAATGCATAGCAATCCTCCAAAACTAAATGTAGAATTAAAAAAAATTAAGGATTGGGATATATTTATTATATGAGACATAACCTATTGATTTTCCTCTATAAACATATGTGGTTCAGAAGTGCTGAGCATTCACAATTGGACTTGTGGCCAAAGAAGATAAGGATGTTCTCCTCCTTCAAAATTCAGGTAATAAATTACATTATTTACTTAGATTAACTGCTGTCAACCAGCTAAATCAGTGATGTAGGCCCTTCCCACACCAAATTTTCACTAGTTTTCACATTGCTTTCTATCCTTACTTCCTTTGGTGACACCAGTTGTCTGGTTAGAGTAAACAACATCTAAACATACTCTATGGATTGTGGGCTATAGTGTAATATATAGCTACCTCAAATAGCTTCCATACCACAGGAAATGGAGCTGTATTAGAAGAGCAGGTGGCTGCATTAATTTATGCTTCTGCCCTGGTTCTTCAGGGGAGCAGTGATAATGACAACCAGGGTGAGGTGTAACGTGAGCCACAGCTGCAACACTGCGCTGTGTTACATTGTTGTCAGTGGCTGTTAGTGGTAGCCCTGCAGTCTGCAGGAGAGAGCAGCATCACTTTCATTATCTGAACATGCCACCGTGAGAGCAATAATGGTCAAGGACTAGCACTGTGCTTGATAAAATGATGCTAGGAATAACGGCTTCAAAAAACCCACAGTGTTAAAAAAAACCAACTCCATAGTTTTTAAAAAAAAAATCACAGTGTCACGAAACAACTTCTCCTTGATTGTCCCTTCGTCTTCCTCAGCAGCAATGGCACCATGGACTGAAGAGGCTGGAAGGGTGCACGAGGGAGAAGGTCAGCACCCGAAGACCTAATTTTAGGTGGCTGGCGTGAGGAGGGTTCAATACCTCTGTCAAAAACATCCCTGATGCTGTATTCTAGTGTCAAATACTGCAGCACTCAGAAGGATGTTATTGGGTCCTTCTCATAAGCCAAGCAGCTCCACTACAGTTATCAGATACCTCTTGCAAAGCTCTTTTTGGGAAGTGTTTTTCAGGGCCTCACTTCTCAAGCAGTGGGGAGCTTTCTTCTATATTCCAGGCTAACTATATTTCATAGTGAGTTTTATCCATGTCTTCTCTTTGGGAAACATTACTCTCTTGCTTAAATAGCTTATTTCTCTCTGTAGTGTTCTTCCCTGTGATGCATTAATGGTATAGGTACTATACCATCTTTGGACCATTATTTGACTAATAAGCATCTTCAATTAATTAATTCCCTCTGCAACACTGTATCAAATACTTTATTATAATGCAGACACCTGAGATCCACTTTATTTACTTTGTTTAGAAAAAGATGGCTATCTCATAAAGGAAAATATCAGATTAATCTAGCATGGGTGATTTTTGGTAAATTAATGTTCTGTTTTAACTGACTTTCCATTGATTTCTATGTATAAAAAAGAATTAGCACAGTTTCAAATACTGATTCCATTTAAACTACCAGAGTAGCTTGCAGGACTCTTAAAAGTTAAGCAACAGTGAGGAAAAATTGTTACTTTCATATAATGTTGGGGAAAGAGCCTTCTTGCCCTCTGTGTCAGATATTCCTCAGTCACAGACTACCACTGCTGAGCAGTTACAATTAGAATTTCCTTTTCAATAGTTAATGCAATGCAAAGACATGTAAGAAAAAGATGAATTCCTAACTCTGTGTCAACTGATAGATTTGTGTCTTTCTGGTAATACCATCCCATGAAAAGAAGTAATTTTAAAACTGTTTCACATATGTCAGTTTAAAACCAGCTTCAGCATTCACTCGGGACAAAGCAAACGTCCCAAAGTAGTCACAATCAAGACAGAGAAAAATGTACAGGAGAAGAAAGGAGGATGATATGGTGCATGTATATATTTGATTTCTTTTCCTACCAGGAGAAGAGAGAGGTTCTGGAGTGACAGTCTCACACCAGCTAATAAGACTGACAAGAAATTCACTCCCAGATAGTCCAAAACCCACCTGATTCTCATTAGTGGAACAAGAATAAGCAATGTTAATGTGAAGAAGATAGAGGAATGGTAAAAGAACCACTGAGGTCCTGTGAAACATTCAGAGTGCCCTCTAAAATATGTCCTTTTAAATCTGTATTTTGCAGAAAGAAAGAGTAATCTTTTGAGCTTCTCTAAGAGGATACCCCTAACCTCTATAAATTGCTGCTTAAGGCATTGTTTTCTAACAGGAGCCACATTAGTAGCTACGCAGACGTTTCTTCTGAAATGTTTGAGCTCTTCTGAGCTTGCTTTGCCCTGTTTCTGTGGAACGGAGATACGGCTCATGGTAACTAACTGAGACAGCAAAGGACTGTGAGAAGGATGAGAGAGAATCTGGGGCCAAATGGTACCTTGTATACTGCTACAAGCAGCTGGTTCCCCATCGCTGATGCAATGAAAATGATCAAGCACTCATTACACATCTACTTTCCTATCAACTCTTAATTGCTGAAAGCAATCAGGGATCAATCAGGGATCTGATCTCTCCTACAGCCACCCCTCCAACAAACACACACAAGTTTTCCATTACCATGAGCACACCGAAAGACCACCAGTCAGCACTCTGCGTGTGTCCCCGGCGGTTGACCACCTCTGGGGCCATGTACTCTATTGTCCCACAGAATGAATATGCTCTCTTGTCATGGTCGATGGCTTCTTTACTCAGACCAAAATCTAAATAAATTGAAACAAAAAAAAGACTTGTCAGATATTATTTACATTTTTTGTCACTTAAACTGTTCAAACCATATACACCCACCAACCAATGAAGGACTCTTCTATCTGCATGCAGGAAGGCCACAGGCAAGTCTGTGCTGAAGCCTTTCCTACGCAGAGTGCCTGGTTGGCATTTGTTAATACCTGAAAGCACATGTTATCATTTTCTCTATTCAGAATGAAGTTCTGGCTCAAAGCAGAAGAGAGAGTTTAAATAGACAGCAATGCATAGTACAGGTTTGATGAAGACAATGCTGGTAAGGATTCTTGCTCAGATAACTAAGGTATTAGGAATAACAATCCCAGATGGACAACAGGGAAAAGGATGGCCAGACAGCACCTTCAGGGTGGCAGAGAGATGTCTTCCCAGGTGTCCCTTGCATAGTGATATTTCAGAGAATTTAATATGGATAAGAAACCATTCTGGAAGCACCCTTCCATCCATGGTGGTAGGCATCCAAGCCTACTCAGTAAAGAGTACAATTTTACCAAGAAAACGCTATGTTAACCATCTGCTGTGTAGCACGGATGCTTCATGAATTACTAGAGAAGAGAACCCCAACACTTAAACTCTTCTGGTTTCTGAGTTTTTGTAAGCAAAGTCTTTCCATGCAAAGATCAAGATGCATGGAATACACTGCAGAAAAAAACCCAACCAAACAAACCAGCTTGTAGACATGAAGTTTTTAATTCTTCAATTATTACCTGTTATCTTAATGTGGCCCTCTTCATCTAGAAGAATGCTGTAAAGTAAAAAAGCAAATATAAATTCATTAGGTAGCTGCAGAGTGCAGTTAACAAACATGAGTAAAATATGTCTAAGACAGTTAAGTAGATAGGCAAGACTCAAATCCATGTGTAAACAATCCCCCAGTGGATTATATGCCTCCAGAAAGAAAAACAATCCTCAAAAGTCTGAAGCACCCATGGCCTGTAGCAGTTGCACAGGGAGCCTCCTCCTTACTCTATAGGATGCTCAGGGTGGGCACGCAAACTGAGCTCAGAAAGAACAGGCTGTTCAAAAGCCAACAACTGCAGAGGATCTGCTTCCAGCAGGAGAAGGAGCTACAGGTTTTCTGCTCTTCTCATAATGAGAAAGGCAAGCATACAAATAATCAGGGCTTGGACCTAAAATTAACTCCAAATGTAGATACGTTCATGCTGATGCAATAAAAGTGATTGTAGAGTATAATGACTAGTCACAGCCTAACTGCATGGATCTCAGCCCCTGCTAATTTATTCTGTCCGGAAGCATAAATGAAAATTCAGCCTGGAAGCCAAGTTCAAGTGTTCTCACATTTGCCACCTGCCAGCATGTTTTATTCTCACAAAGGCACTCCAATATTTCTGTGAGAAAAAAGACTGAAGTTCACAAAAACCATTGCTAGATTTTGTGGAAACAAGAAGGAACAATGAAACTGAAAAATAATGATTTTTGGTAACTTTTCTGCCTATAAATGCTGACACAGTAATGAGGGTGATGTTTCTTCAGTTCTAGTTAGATTTAGTATATTTTTCTTTTCAAAATGGTCTAGCAAAGTGTCAGCTATTTTTATATTCCACTTAGAGAGTCACTTTAATCAGGAAGAAAAATAAGACAGAAGTGTAACAAACACACTGGACTATACTTTGTGAAAGGTTGTCTCTATACTGAAACATAATTGAAAAGAGATGATCTGTCATTTTTTCATGTCTTTAGAACAGACTATTATTGTGCAATTCATCAAACAAATGCCAGCCACTGAGTCACTACTATGTGCTCAATAATTAAAGCTTTTTCTTCTCAATAAAAGTATCTCTACCTCTAACCTTTCTCCCTAGTTTTCTTGAAAAGGTATAATTTTTAAGTACTAGCCTTAATCAGGCATGTTTAAATGTGTTTTTGTGACTGCAGTCCCTAAACAAAAGGCTTTTGCTTCAGAAGAGAGCAGAATAAAACAACTGCCAGTGTGGAATTGAGAGTGAATGTATGAAATCCAAAGATCTGGCTCTGGAAAAACAGCAAAAGGGAGTACAGCTCACAGAAATCACCCAAAATTTTGCCTTACACCCAGGAAGCCCCTGTAAATAACAATGCAATTCAAAGGTTGTGGGATTTTCCCCATAAACGTAGATTTTATGAATGCTCATTAGAGGGCTCATATCTTGCCTTTATTGAAAGGATGGGGGCCATACCAACACAGCTATCAGACTGGTAATACTGTCTTAGGTTAAATGAGCCAGAAGCAACCAACAGACTTCTTCACACTGAAGATGTGCATGAGCAGCAAAATTAATGGATCCAGGTTTCCTAGGGATATTTATCCTATATGCCCTAGAACTTGATCCTTAGTTCCCTCCCCTGTCTCATGTTCCCTCATCATCCATACACAGAGCCCTCGGTTGCCTACAGCTTCCTCATGGCCCCTGGCAGCACCCTTGGGACAGCCAGGTGTTTCCACATTTGAAATTTGGTAACACACATGGTGCTATGGTTGTGAACTGAAAATTACATTTGATGTAAAAAGAAAATAGGCTAACAGTGAGAAAAAGATAACTGTTGCACTGAATTAACTTTGAGTGACATTAAGAAGCAAAGAACAATGTAGCTGCTTCTAAGCATCTGAATTACAGCAAATGGTTTTCCTTTGACTGTAGAAGCAAACTTATTGTCTGATCATACTTTCTGTCTTCTCTTTTCATCTTTATCACTTTACAGTTTCTTTTTGTCCCACATTATCAATAGTAGAAAATCTATTGTGACAATCACAATTACAGTAGCTATGGTTTGCAGGATCAGCTACTCTGAAATAAGCTAGTATTTTGCAGAAAGGTTAAAAGGATCAGAAGTTGTTAATAGTATCCAGACTAGAGAAAAATCTTTCTTCTAAATCAATGTACTGAAATTATTAAAAAGAAAACAAAAGAAGTAGACTACTTTAAAATGTTTAACTAGACTATAATCCCATTACAAGATTTTTATTTTATTTTATTTGCTCAGTTTAAGGCTTGAGTGTGTTTACAGGATACTGTCATTGTAAACCTGGTCTTTATTTCAAAGCAATAACAACATTTAGCCTCAGGATGGTCTCACAAACATTCCAACTGCTTTCACCAACCTCAGTTTAAAAGCATGCCTTGAGAATATAAAGGCTGAAAATCTCTATGTTAGAGGCTGGGCAGCTAAACTAGTAGCAGGTGAATGACATACTCCAAGTTACAGGAGAAGCCTACAGTAGAGCTAGGACTGCAACCTTCCTAGATTTTTTTCTGCAACTTTAGCACAGGATTAAAGAGCATTTGTTATGAGTTGAGACCATTTTAAAGGGACTCTTAAATCAAGGACATAGCAACTCCCTTCTATTTCTCTCTCTTTATTTTTAATTTTGAGTCATAATTTTTAGGCTTCACTTTGAACTCCAAGATACCCAAATCATTGTGAAGTTCTGCCAAATCTATTAAAGCTGGAACTTTGTGTTCTGGTGGGGGGTTTTTGTTTGTTTGGGTTTTTTTTTGTGGTGGTGGTGGTGGTGGTTGTTGTTGTTGTTTTGGGCTTTTTTGGTTTTGTTTTTGCCTTTTTTTTAACGATTTCAGTTTCTTTCCAAGAAAAGTCAGTTGTGCAGAAAATTGAACCCACACTTTATGTTTTTCAGAAAAGGTAATCAAAATTTCAGGTTGGAAAGAAAACCTGAAACTACATAACGTGCTTAATTTGATTGCAGGCTTTGTTATCAAAGTACCAGACAGAGTGAAGTATTCAAGTATCTCCCAAAGAGATAAAATTTCTCACAAACTGTCCACCTTTCATGACATTTCAGTGTTTGCATGACCCCATACTATTTCACCATGCTATACAGTCTTACGACAAACTAATCTCTGCTGTAGCTTCTTTGACATCATGAAGTCCCAAAAAAGGGACGGCTTACTTTGATGGAAGATGATGGTTATTTTCCACTAAAAGTCTTTATTCTTTACTGATTCTCAGATGTTCCCTCTCTACACTAGGTAGCTACATTCATGAAGGAATTGCCACAGTTTGAAACATGCTGCATTAAGCAGCGATGGTTTGTTTATTTAGAATATAGTTCAACAATTCAAGAGTTGCTTTACGAGCAGTTATATGAGCAGTCCCTTGTACGAGCAGCTGAGAGCATTACAATGTAAACCACTCCTTGTTAATCAAAGCGCCTATGACAGAACTGTGTCAAGGTGTGTCTGGGTACCTGGAGATAGAAAAGGTAAAAATAAATAAAAAAGTCTGTGCATTCTCAGAAGGTAGAGTTACTTCTAAGTTACTCATACCTTCAAACCACAGCATAAGAAATAACATATGCAACATACACTACTTTATAATAAGTTCCCATTTTTCTAGTTTTGTATATTTATCATAAGTAATAGCTTGATCCTGCAGTTCTTAAACAGAAACATGCCTGCCCATTTAAGTAACTCAACAGGTTTCAGCGTGACTGAACAGTACCTTGTTCAACAAGGGATGCCACTGAAATCAGTAAGATAACTCAAGGAGAAGAATTTGGCGGCAACAATTTAAGGGGAGAAGCATCTGCTTGTTCTAAACAAGACTTTAAGCAGAAAACTTGATTTCTTGCCTTCTTGAAGTAAGTAAAGCTAACTTTATAACAACTCCCAGAGTATATATTCTAGTTGCACTTAAAATGAATTCATAGCTCTGAATTGTTAATATGGATTTTTGCTCAGGGAATCTTAAAAAAAAAGTCGAACCTTAAATTTTAATGTACTGAGGATGCTTTCAAGTGGTCTGAAGAGTGCTACTTTCTAACTAGTCTTCTTTGACATAAGCAATTCTGATGAGTTTCATTTTAGGATAGTTATAGAGCTGACTAAAGCAATCTCAAACCTATTAGCGGTTACTTTTGGGAGCTTCTGGAGGACAGCAAAAGCACAGAACAGTGAAAGGTCAAATGCAGTGCCTATCTTTTAACAAAGTGCGAGAGAGAAAAAATTGGAAAATTATGAATTAATTTATCTCCAGTTCTGCAAATCTGAGAGAGTAAACCTTGTTCTCTAATCTGACTGGTAATGTTTCTCCACAAGATGTGGGTGTAATTCTGTATGTTTCACTTCAAAGGAGATATGGATCAAGAGAAACCAAAGGGGAGGAATCACCAGATGCCTAGAAAGACTGACTGGTGAAGAAGAGTTCAATAGTTCGATTGTTTAGGGTACAAAAGAGGGTCTGAGGACAAGGATGTGCTTGCAATCACCCAAGGCTGCTGCTGAGAGTAGAACAAGCTGGCTAAGAAGTCTCAGAGGACAGGCTAAGGAGCAATGGCCTGCTACTGTGGGAAATTTCAAATTAGCTATTGGGATCAACTTTCTAGATATACAACTGGTGAAACACTACCTAGAGGCCTTCTGTGGAGATCATGGAGCCTTCACCAGCTATATTAAGCATAGGTTAGCAACACACCTTCATATATTTGACCCTACCCAAGGGCAAGGGGAGGATAAAAACATCCTGGGATGGTACTAATTTTCTTTTATCACCTTATTTATAGAGCTATCATTTCCCAGATGTAATTTAAAAGTATATTGATTTTTTTCCCTTCAGAATGAATTTTTTCTGCTGTACCTGTTTTTTTTACTCTACACCTAAAGTTCTGGTGAAATCACAGGCTGTCATGCTCTGCTGTCCTAGGCATGTCTACACATACACTTTGCACTTTTATATAGCTATTTTTAAAGGATATGGTTTTTAATCAAAAAGATGCTTTTATTTATCCCCAGGTATGAACTTGAGTTATACCAGTCTGGGTGATCTCCTTTCCTGTACAACAGTAGTTACATCCATGTAAAGTAATTTTATACTATGATAACTGTATCCAGATTCAGCTGTATCACCGGTATCTATTTAACTATACACTGAAGACGACAAACCATACATTCAGAAGTCAAGGAATACTGGAATGAGGGGTGACACCTTAATTTTACACAGTGATCTACCTGTTTAAAGGTCTTTAATTACACAATAATACTTGTTCTTCTCTTCCAGAGAACTCTTGCCTCAGTTGGCTGAACAGGTAATACTCGGGATTTTAGCAGAGTGGTACAGTGAAGGGTATGGCTGGCTGGTCTCAGGTCAGATGACAATGCACAGGTAATTTGGCTCCATCTTTGTCTTTTCTACATGTTTCTCTGTGACAATGGCAAATCAGTGACACCTTCCTTTCTTAGGTGAGCTTTAATTTCTCAATTCACTGATCTCTGATTTGAGACACTGCAGTTTGGTTTGCAGAAATTTTAAGTGCTCTGACTTGCAACTGAAGTCAGTGAGAGATGTGCTTTGATATGCAAAGTGACACATAATACTGAGAACTCTGAAAAACCAGGTTCTTGGTATCTCAAATACAGTGAATAGTTTTGACATGCACTTAATTTTCTCCTTGGTTTCTAACTTCTCCCAAAGCAAAAGAATTATGGCACATGTCTATAAAGGTAACAGCACTGTGACTTATATTTGAATATACAGACTCATATTTGGATACTTTCTAACAGCAACTTCATTTATCATGTATTAGTTTGAAAAACATCTTCAACTAACACCAGGAAGAAGAGTAGTGTGTGATTCATGCTAGTACTCATTAGAAATAAAGTTTAAAACTGAAAAGCTGTAATTGGAGTTATTCTATAATGTGCACGTTTGCTGATGCTGAGTGAATAAAATAGCAATTCAGAATGAAGTTGAAACTGAAGAGCTGCTGGCAGATGATGCAACAGCACGTGGCAGTGGCAGCAATGGTGTGATTGCTGTTTACCTACATTTCATGTTATGTGACAAGCCTTCATCCCTCCAGAGATTTAACTTGGAGAATGACTTCTTGTATTTGACAGAGACTTCGTTTTTCAGTTTTGATTGCATGGATGGGCAAGACTGGAAATTTTAGTCACCTGCAAAAGGGTGTCTAGCCCAAAGGACTGAGAGCTCTCATAACGTACAACTGTATGAATTCATACAATACTACTACTATTACTGTTGTAACCAACACATAAAATTAAATATAAAGTTTAATCACACAGTGCTGTGTTGTAGATAAATAGTGTCCTCCCCTTCAACCTCTCACCTATGAAGTCCACCTGCCATTACTCTTGGTCTCTTATCCATAATATGAAAGCAAGAACACTTCATTTTAAAGAACAAGCTGCATATTTTTGAACTTCATGTCACAGAAGGAAAAGGTTGCTCTGTTGTTATAATTTGAAAGTGTAAACAACATCCAAACAGACTGCTCTCAGTGGTCATCCTTTTTAAATGATGGTGATCATTACATTAAAAAGACTGGTAACTTTGAAACATTGCAGCCTGTTTAATTGGAGCTGGCATAGGAGATGTAGGCAAAGCACCAGGCAAGTGGCATGGAATGAAAACATCACTCCCAGTGATAGCACTGGGGGTGTTGTTTGGTCTACTGATGTACTGCAAAGAAATTAAAAAAGGAAAAATCTCCATAGCATCATATTAGGAATAGAATATAGCTTCAAGTATAAGCAAGAATAATTTTGGGGGATATACTTTGGATCATTAATAAAAGTGTTTTTAAGAACCTGATTATCACGTCTCTCAGGAGCTAATATGCACACTAGTTTTCAGACATGCTCTTTTCCTTTAAACAACGGCTGCAATAAAACTGAACAGTGCCCCAATATATTTCATATGAGCTGGAAGTGGAGTTGCTTTGAGAAGTTTATACCACATTGAGGGGTGTAAAGATTACAGATCAGAAAGGAGCAGCAGATTAAATGCTGCAAATGGAGGACAATGCTACTGAAGTCAAAAGCACAGAGATCTGAATCCTGCGCTTAGATCATTCACTAAACTGAAGGCCATGCTCACAGAGGCCACCTCCTACTGGTGTATAGTTAAAGTATTTGGCCCCAGGCTGAAATAATATGATAAGAAGACCCTACCTCTGATGGTGAAGGTTTCATATGTAGAGTCTTACATACAAGAAGCAAGGCAGAGCTCCTCTCAAGGAGCAGAAATGACCTGAAAGTTCATATATTTACTTTTCGGTTCGCTCTTTCTCATTAACTTACTTTTCTGGTTTTAGATCCCTGTAAATAATTCCAAGACCATGGAGGTGGTCCAACGCTAAGGCCAGCTCAGCTAAGTAGAACTTGACATCCTCTTCTGTAAACATCACCTAGAGAGAAGAAAGAGAAGAACACATCTATTTACTGGACAGTGGTGGGCTGGGTTGCATTAAACAGACAGGGATAAGGATTTGCCTAACTCAGGAATGTGGGAAGGACCATCATATCAGGTTCAATTTTCCATAATTTGTCTGAGCTTACATTAACAATTCTTACCAGGCTGTCCTTATAATGCAAAACATGATCTTTCAAGTACTTCTATTTCTTAAAACATGCTGCTCTCATTTGTCTCATTTGTTTAGATGACACCATGTCACAATAATATGAATAAGGTTCTAACTCTTTAACCTTTGGAAACGAATAGTAAAATTCAATAGGTTCAGCGCAGCCCTTATTGCTTTTGTGACTCTTAATTTGCAACAATCTTGGGATTTGGTTACCAAATTCCCACAAAATAATATAAGGTAACCTCTTTGGGGAAGTGAAATGCTTCCAAACGTGAGCAGAATACACAGCATGAAGAGACTCGGAGATGGATTTAAACCCCTGTGAACTGAGGGTCCAAGCAATCTCAGTGCAGGTGCCCTGGGCAGTGACATGCTGTCCAACACCAAGGGCCTGATGAGGTCTAAGGTGAGGGCAGCTGTTTCCTTTCCATAGCTAGTACAGGTACTGCTAACACTGAATGCTCTGTTCTAGATGGGAAGAAACTCCTGTAATTGAAAAAACACTAAATTCAGAAAAACTGAGCTCAGATGGCAAGAAATCCCTTTGATTCAACTTCCATTATATCCCAGAAGTTATTAAGTTACCTTTAATTAAATTTTACAACGTGCAGTGTTAATAATGCAGAAAGAGAAGCTGATATATTGGATATGCAAGTGTGAATGTTATGTATGACAGAAGTAAAATGAGTCAGCTCAATACCAATTTGCATGTCATATGTAAATATCTAAAACAGAAGTTACTGAGCCTATTTTTAAAATTAAGTCTCTGCTCTTGGAAAGGGGCAGCCACAATAGTTCAGTGATCTGAGAAGCTGCAGGAGGCTGAGAGCAAAATAGTGGATTCAGAAAACAGATGTCACATATTTTATTTAAGAATATCACTGCAAGGGCTAGAAAGAAAAAGGATACACAAGAAAAAGCTCTGACGAAAAATGTAACTGGTCTGAACATAAAAATTGCATTAATTATCAAAAAAAATTGAAATTATTTATAAGGTTTAAAATAAATAATATAAGCAAGAGAGAAAATCAGTAGAATCAGGAAAAATCTAATTTATACAGACATATCCTGCTAAAGTCAGAAGTCTCAGAAAGAGGAAGAGAGAGACAAGCTTTGCATGCACTCATGCTGCAGTAGAAGGGATCTGATTGAAAGCCTACTGAAATCAATACTCTTGGACCAGGTGTGTAATGAACAAATTGCAGCCAGTACAATTTATCCCATAAGGTCTTCCCTCATGACGTCTTGCCACTAAACAGTTGCAAAGTATGGGTAGACAAGATAAGCTGCAAACACTGAAGAGAGAAGTGTGTGAAAGGACTGTCAAGTTAAGAGGACTCATTCTTGGTAGTATAAAGCAGAGAAGTCTGTGCATTGAGCTGGAAAAGCCTTGGGGAAAATGTGAAATTTTAAAGGAGTACAAAATCTCAGCAGTTCTCTTTCACTTTTGAGTTCCCTTGCTGTGCAGTAGGGGTAACTGCCCTCTGTAGGCAAGAATCACTTTCTCTCTTCTCCTGTGAAACTGGAGAGAAAAGATACCTTGCTAAGACAACACGCTGTGTCCTAGCAAAGCCTGATTTCAGGACAAACAGCAGAAGGATACTTTTATTTTCTTTAATCTTTTTCCTCATATTAAAAATAACCGCTACCACGTACCGAGTACTTACACAAGTATCATTACTTGACAGTGTAATTAACTTATTGATAATGTTTTTTCACATTAACAAACAAGTCTTGAAAGCAAATGCTTGGGCTCTCAAGCTGTGACACACACAGTAGTGTGCAGCATGTCACTGCACCAGGAATTGTATGGGAAGGAAAAAAAAAAAAGAGGGAAAAAAGGGAACTTTTGAATAAAAGTACTGTTTTACAGCTTTTTTAGTTAACTGTAATCCCCCAAACCAAGAAAAGCAAACAGATTTTTGCCTCAAGATGGCATTTGAAAGGTCCCTATCTTATCTTTAAAGATCGTGCGTTAGGTGGTTGCTGGCACTCCCTGTCTCCACAGCTTGGAAAGAGACAGAGGGCTAGGGACACCATGTTGGTGACAGAGAACTCTGGGGCTCAGAAAGGCCCCAGGGAGGTAGGGTTGTATTTACCTGTAGTGTCTGCTGGGCCCTTGCATCCTAAATGCAGGAGAATGCACTGCTTCAAGCAATGCAGACAGCATTTGGAGATGCAGACAAGTGCTAAATAAACCTCAAAAACCTGCTGCTGCTCTCTATGGGCATTTGTGAGACATAGGTTTGGACTATTTCTCGATTTCCTTGTTCTCCAGCAGCAGCACCTCTCCAGGGTAGGAGCTATGGAGACCAAGGAAGGGATGGGAGCACAGGGAGATGGAGCAAGCAGCAGCTGCCCCAGGCAGGCAGGAGGAGAGCAGGCCAGGGCTGTGACAGCCAAACCTCAAGCCCTAGGGTGGTACATGGCCTCCAACCTGCTCCCAGCACCTGCTTTTCCCACTTGCCAGCTGATGCCCCACTCTCTGCAGGCTCTCTGCAGGGCTCAGCCCCTGACCCATGGCCTTCTCTGCTTTCTGCTGGCAGCAGTTGGGTTTTTCCAGTGATTATGTGCCCCAGGCAAAATGTATTTGGCATTGATTTCTCAGACTGTTTCTCAACACAACCAAGATATATTTTGCAACCAATAAGTCTAGGGCTATTTTGCCATGGGAATGGCTTAGTAATGGTGCAGCTTTCTACAGCAGTCATGCTTAAATGCTATCTGCTGCATTACTTATGGCATAATTCAAATACAGTTATTAAGAATCCACTTAAAGATGCAAGATAATACAGCTCTATTATATACAGTAGCAGGACTATTCCCAAGGCCATTTTTAATTTCCACCAATTTAATCTGAGTTCTGGAAATCCAGGACAGTCTTTCACTTCTGAAGTTGAAATCTATCAGCTTACCTCTTTGGAGAGTCTTGTGAAAAGGTCCCCTCCCCGCAGGAAATCTAGTATTAGGTACAATTTTCCCTCTGTTTGAAATGCTGCATCGAAAAAGGATGAAGATATTGGAAGTTTGAATCAAGATAAAGTCCCCAAAGAACAAATCATGTGTATCATTCATACCATTAGCTTCCTTGTTATTTCAGCACTTCGAGAACATAAAGAATTAATTTCTGTACAGAACTAAGCAATTGAGCTTAGACTATGGGAAAAATGGTACTGGCTGAGAGAAAACAATGCATTACTAATATATTCTTTTCCATGCTAAGCACCTATGATTAATATTGTTTTCCATTGCACAATGTACCAGGAGTCACTGAGGGCTAGGCACAGAGAGAAGCTCCCAGTTGAGAACCCACACTATCCAAAATGCCCTCAAAAGACCCTTTAAGAGTAACAATGGGGCTTCTCAGGGAGCTGGTGAAGCAAAGGAAGGCAACCCCAGCAAGACAACACATTCATATAAACACACATATAAGTACAGACTGGTTCTAATTATTAAATATAGGTTTTATTTAGATTCTCTGGTTTTTTAAATAATACCTGACAGCAGGTGAGGGGGTTCGCAGATGTATACTCACCAGCTACCCCACCAGCACAATCTATCATGTTAGACTTTATGACAAATGTATTTTGATGAAGGAGTGGCTAAAACCTACTTATACTGAAATTCTCCTTTAGCATAAATGAAGAATTTCACACAGGTAGCCTCTATGATTTTGTTAGAGTTTTAAGTAGGTAAGGGGTATCTGTATGAAATTATAACACATCCAGTTACAATTCCCCGACCAATTTAAGAACAAACATGAATTGTTTTATTATAGTTACCATAATGAAGCTTGACTATGAAAGGATGATTCACTTCTGCCAAAATATCTCTCTCCATTTTTGATCGTACCCGATCCCGAACTATAAAGAAAGAACAATAAGAACAGCGACATATTAAGAGGCAGTATGGTCACTGGAAACAATTTTGCAATCAGGTTCTGGTGACTTGGATTCAACTTCTCACTCTGCTGATGGCAGAGTGACCTTTGGCAAACCACACCACTCTGATGTCCCCTTTTCTGCCAGTTTTGACTGTGCAGAGTCACAATAAAAAGAGTAAGCCTTTGAGGAAGGCACCCCGTCTCCTCCTGCAGAGAACAGCCCTAACTAAAAGGACTACAGTATCACAGACAACAGGAAGGTGATGATGCTTTGCAGAAGCGAACGCTAATGTGAAAATTAAAACTATACAGAAGTAATAACTCTAGCTCATTTAAGATTAAACAGAATGTACTGATCCCAGAGCTCACTGGACTAACCTTGTGCAAATTAACATGTTGTACTATACTGATGCTAGCAGCATTTATGAGATGTCACTGAATAGCACTCTCTGAAAGTGATTTATATAAAATAATTTAAGCTTCCAATAAACCACACAAACAATCAGTAATAAAGTGAAAGGACTGATTAAAACCACTAAAATACCCATTTTTATGTGCAAAAATCAATTATTGTGTCATAGCAGTGAGTAGTTGAGATGAATAGGTAGTAAGAGAAAAAATAGTTACAGAGGTGAGGTGGATTCAAAGTAATCAAAACTGGCACTGAAGATTTCATAGCAAACACATTTAGCAGAATATTCAGATATTGAGGAGAATTCAAGTCCCCACATTATCAGCTCTTGATCTTAGAGATGCATTTTTAAGTCAATCACAGTTTCACTAAATCCGTAATGACAGCATTGACATTTTCTTCTTCTCTCTGTGTCACACAATGCCAATGTGCTTTTCAGCTGAAAGCACCTACTAGGAATGTTATGAGTCTGTTTTAGGTGGTAAGCCTGAGATCTCAGCAAGATTCTGTCATCGCTTGCATGTGTTGTGGATCTGCTGAGAAGCTGAGTACTCTCAGCACCCAAGTAATGAAATGACCATAATGAAAGTACATATTCTGTTGCTGTACATCAAAAATTGATGTACAGAAATAGGTCCAAACCAGCTGATCTGAAAATCAAAAAATAAAATAGGAGTGGAAAGATACTTAGATTTCTTGCTATTTTGATGCTTTATCTAGTCAATAGTGACGTAAGCTTTACTAGCTCACTCAACCTAAGCTACCTTTTAGCTAAAAATCAAAACAAAGTGAATCTCAGAATCTTAATTTTATCTCATGAGTAAAAATCACACATCATACACTCACAGAATGCTTAGCCTATATGAAGGCAGAGTATTTATCACGCTGTAGAACAGCGATGCTCCCAGGAAGTAGAATTCTTGTTGGACAGGTGGACATTGCTGAACACTCCATAATTTCCCATTAATTTCCCATTAAGCTTGGTTAGAGTGTCTAACAAAGTGCCTCTTCATGGAGAAGAGGTTGGCAGAACGGCAGTGTGCTCTCCTGCCCGCATAATTTCAACATCTGGCCATGTAAAGGCACTGCTGTGCATCCAGGTGCTTTACCGAAGTCCCCAGCACTGTGTCCTGCTTGCTGCTGCAGTGGCACTGCTGTGGTGATTACAGGCTGTGGACCTGACAGGCTGCTATGTCACCCTCCTCCCCACACGTATACAGCAGACACAGTAACACTGAGGAAAAGGCAATGTTACCACTGAAGACAACTTCATTCTGCAGTCATGGTCCCTTAATTGCCCTGAACACAGTCTTCTCCAAAGCCGCTCCTATCACCACCTTCACAGCGGCTGCAAGGAAAGATAACTGAAAAGATTACAGCTTGGCACATGAGTTGGTGACCTGCCCTCCTTACCTTCCAAGCATCAAATACTGCCTGATTTAAATGCTCTGCGGGCAGAAGCTATATGGGCCCAGGTTTTCATGGAGTCCTACCAACCAAAGAACCTATCAATCGTATTCTCTAGAAAGGCAAATCCACTTGCTTTCTCCCACTTTATTTTTCTTACTCTATTACTTCCAGATGCCTGGGCAGTGCCCGTTTTTAACCTCCAAAATAGCCTCCCTGGAGATATCTACCTGCTTGCACCAACTTACATACCACAGTCCACTGTGTGAGTTAGTTATTGTACCGTATGCTGCACATCCATTGCCATGATATCTAATATATATACAAGGTTAAATCCATTCTCCTTTGTGGTTTATTATTCATTCTGTCATAGCAGGGGGAAGATTTATTTTCTCTTATTTCAGATAACACCTGGAAATAAGAATTCCCTTGCTCTTCCTTCCTCCTGTATTTTTGGGATTGAGGCAACATGGGTCTGATATGCATCAGGAAAGGTTTTAAGAAGAGACGGCACTTTGACATAACATTTCAACAGCATGAGTCTCTGGATCCATCTGATTCCTCTGTCATCTCCCAGGTACGATGAGTGGGAAAGTGACTCTTTTCTGCACTTCACAGATTTTTTTCTAGTATTCAGTGGCCCCAGTCTGATCTGCCGAGGTTCAGTGTAGTTCCTACATCCTGACAGTCAGATAAATTGATTAATTTGCTCAAGCATGATCTGAATTAGTTCTGGCTGCTTATTCAGCCTGCTAGATCCTCCAGCAGCAAGGGGAGAGAGGGACAGGGACAGAATAGCTGCTGTGGTGCCAGAGATGATGAAGCCTGAATGTTAAAGATATTTATTTCTTGCAGCTGACCAAGCAAACATGCATGTCTTTGCTTAGGCCTGTTTGGGGATCTGTGGTCATGTATCAGTGAAGATATCACCATGGATTTCTCCATTGATTTCGAGAATGACTGGATCTCTGACAGGACCTACTTCTATGGATTCTTTTCTGAGTGAATCCCTTTTTTTTCTGATGGTCTTATCAAAGGCTACAGCACAGGGCTGGGCTTTCACCGCACTGGCACTGCCTGGGGCTGTGGAAAAGCCTCTTCCTCTGTCCACCCCTTGGTGATGAAAGGGGATGTACACCAAAGAAGGTGAATAGAGGAGAGTGCAAGTAACTCAGCTCACCCATCTTTGTTTTGACCACTTGCATCTTCATTTTGACCCCTCTATCCAGTATTGAATTTGGTTTGAAAGGTGAGGTTTGCCATTTACTTTTAAATTTTCTGTCTGCCAGAGGCAAAGAACATAACTTGGAGCAATGAGCACAAAGTAATTAAGATTATTTGCATGATCTTGGACCTATTTTACCTAAATTACCTATTCCTGAAATAATTCCTGGTGCCATGATACGGAAGAGACCTGACTGGTGGAGTGTGTAACAGCAGAGGAAGCACCTGCTACCCTGAAATAAGAGCAGTTCCCATTTCCAGGTATTAATGTGGTATGCAAAAGAAGTGGAGGCAGCTGAAGATACATGCAAATAAGTACAGCTTATCCACTTCTGTCTGTCTAGTTCTGATCATCATAGAGAAGGATGTTACTGCTTACTTTATTTAAAACTGAATGTTTATGGAGAAAGTTCTATTTAAGATGTGAATTTTTACTTCTTGGGCTGTTTTAATTTTAATAATCATGAAGTACAGAAGGGAAAGGGGAAAAGGGAAAAGTATATTCAGAGCATCTTCCAAGGAGAGAAAAAAGTTCCTTCTAAATAACAGATGAGCTGTATATTTTCTGAATAAGAAAATAAACTGTAATACTGCTTCCCTCTCTGAAGCTCTCATGATATCAACTTTGTTTGAGATTTAAACATGGAAATATGAATTAAATTTCAGCCAATAAACTTCTTGTCCCTATGTCTCATTTAAAAACTTAGAGTCAGTGCATCTCTAGCTATGTACACTGTCAAGTAATGATGATATAGGGACACCGCTTGATGTACATGCAATGACATCGTAACAGTTCAGCA